AGTCCAGGGCACTGTGTGTCGGAGTGGATCGCAACGTGATTTTGCGAACCCGACTCCACCACACAATTCCTTAGTATCCTGAGATTAGCATTTTAAAAAAAAAAACTTTTTTTTGCAGAACATCCGGTTTTCTATTGGTTTTATGCTCTGAAACATTATTTTTCATCCAATCAAAATCTTTGATTAAACGGACGCCGGCTTTTCCGTTCAATGATTTGCTATAAAGATGGCAGTCAGTGATGCCGCCCAAATCTGTCGTTGTCTGTACCATGGTTCTTACAACTGCTCCTCAGTCGTCATAGTAGCAACAGATCCCACAAGTGTCTGTTAACGCGTAAAAACGCCAGTTGCTCAAAGTTGGCAGGCATCACCGATCGTCGCTGCGGTGTAAGCATGAACTTGCACTGAGAGAACAGCCACTCGACCGTATTAGAGGTTGGAGGGATCTGCTTTACTATAGGAGCGTAGTCAGTTGAACTTGGTGTTTTTCTCTTTTTGCCACCTCCCTGGAGTAACGGTGAGGCATAGTCTCCATCTCCGCCTTTCCGTTTCTTTCCAGCCATTGCAGATAGGTTAAATATCTTTAAGCCTTCGAGCTCTGCTGGCAAAAGAGTGCATCCTGAGATGATATTGACAACAGCTGACTCGAAAGTGGGCGTGTGAACGATCTTAGCCATTGTCTTGAGATGCTCTCCCATCACAGGATACTCAGCTACAACAGCGTCAAACAGCAGGCGGATCTCAGGCCTGATGCGATTATAGCGCTGAACCTTCGTGAACGTAAACGACCAGCGCGTGACGTTCCTCTTTAAAGGAAGCAGATCAGTATGTTTCTTTAGCTTTGATGCCTATGGACAGAGTTACGCATGGAAACTCACTTTTGCCATACGCTATTGCCATTATTGCCACATTTTTATTTTATGGAAAACAACGACCGCCCATAGTAACTAATTGTAGTGGAACAATTCGATTATTATTTTATTTCAACTATTTTCCCAACCTCTGGTCCGTGATACCCTCATTACCTGATATATGAGCTTAAACTTAAAGCAGAAAATGCAAACAGGGACGGAAACTCGTAAATGACAGCAGTTTTGTTGTGTTTACAGTCAAGAACAGCTTCCAAGACACGGCAGCGGTCAGTTATCAAGCTGCAGCATCGGCAATAACCAATTCTCTCAAATAAAAAATCAATACAAGCAGTTGCATTTTTTAAAGTAAGTTTATTATTACGTCCATTTGATTCGCTTAGCTTTTTTTTCGACCAATAAGTGAATTTCCCGGTAGCCAATCAGAGTTATTGAGTCCAAACGGTTAAGAAAACTTCCTCCGGGTCTCTCATAGGTGGTTTTGGCTCTTTCAAAATTTGTATTGTTTTTTAAGTTTTGGCAAGTGCAATATCGTCCAATTGATCGTCCCGTTGCCAAAATTGGCAATCCACCAATCGCGTGCGTTCATCTACGTATCATGCTCTTGAAGCAAGGGGGGAGAAATCATTAGAGAAAACCGAGAACCAAGATAAGACAATGAGTGACGCCGTCAAGCCGCTGCAGAGTCTGCTGGACGCATTCGGCGAACGTCTGGCCCGCGTGGAGGCGCAGCTTGGAGTGTCGGGTGCACCCGTGCCCGCACCTGCCGCCGCTGCCCCATCCGCCGCGCCGGTAGAGCTGTCACCTCAGCTTGAGGCCTACGATGAGTACGTGGCTCAGTACCTCCCTCCTTTCGTGGAGGTGGCTGCCAAACTCGGCGAGGACACGAAGAAACTCGGTGAAGTAACAGAGAAGGCCTTTGCAGCCCAGCGCGCCTACCTGTTGATGGCCAGCCAATGCAAGAAGCCGGCTACTCTTAACCCGGAGCATCTCAAAGACCTGCAGGCTTGTATTAAGGAGATTAACACTCTGCGTGACAACCGCAGCGAGTTCGCCAACCACCAAAACATGGTGAACGAGGGCATCCAAGCGCTCGGTTGGCTCTGCGTTGAGCCCGCACCCAAGCCCTTCATCGAGTCGTACGTGGGCGGCTCGGACTTCTGGGGTAACAAGATCCGCGTGCAATACAAGACGTCCAATCCGGACCAGATCGCCTTCGTCACGGCCTTCAAGAGCCTGTTGACCGAACTCATGGCCTACGTTAAGGCTCACCACACGACTGGCGTCACGTGGAACCCCAAGGGCGGCGACGTGGCCAACTATACACCCGGTGCAGCCTCGCCCGCCAAGGCTGCATCCCCTGCTGCTGGTGGTATGGCCAACGTGTTCGCCGGCATCAAGTCCATTGACCAGAGCAGTGGTAAGACCGCTGGGCTCAAGAAGGTCACTAAGGACATGCAGACGTGGCGCAAGGACTACAAGCCCGAGGGAGCAACACCGACGCCTGCTGCCCCCGCTGCCGCCAAGAAGCCTGCCACACCCGTCAAGATCACGAAGCCTGCTGTTTGTGAAGAGCGTAATGGAAACTGGCAGATCGAGTACCAGACTGGCCCCGAGCCGCTCACTGTCAGTGGTATCAACATGAAGCAGCAAGTGTACATCTTTGGCTGTGAAGGTGCTACCATTCTGCTGGAGGGCAAGGCCAAGAACATCGTGTTCGACTCGTGCAAGAAGACCAAGCTCATCTTCGACAACGCCGTGTCCAGCATCGAGATCGTCAACTGCAAGGGCGTACAGGTGCAGTGCAAGGGCGTGGTGCCGTCCGTGGCCATCGACAAGACGGATGGCTGCCTCGTGTACATTTCGTGGGAAGGCCGTGAGGTGCAGTTCGTCACGTCCAAGAGTTCCGAGATGAACGTGGCGTTCCCACAGGGAGCAGGCAGCGACGACTACGTGGAGAAGCCGATCCCGGAGCAGTTCGTGCACAAGATCACGGACGACCTGAGCATCTCGTCCGACGTGTCGGACCTGTACTCGCACTAGATCTAGCCACACTTCAGCTCACGATCATAACAGGCTGGCTAGGCAGCCTACCACGTCGACGTTGGATGCGGCTTTTATTTTTTTTCTTTCGTGCTCGTGTGAATGAATTTGAACTTTTGGCACGTTTTTTTTATGTTTTGAACGGTCGGTGATTATTTTTTTTTAATAAAAATGGGGAAGGCAATAGAGCTGACGCCGCCAACACTGGTCGTGGTGGAGGAGCAGCCAACTCCAGTCGAAGATCCACCGGGTCCAAGAACGCTGATCTCATTGGAGCAGTTGGAGCAGGTTCATGCTGCTGCGTCGGCGGCGGAGCGTGCAGAGCGATTGACAAGCGCATTGGGAGTGCAGCACTACCCTGTGAATCCACGTACCTGCGTGTGGGTGGACTTCTGCTTCGGCGTGCTCAACTTCGCTCGGGACGAAGCGCATCTGCCTCCCGAAAAGGCTCTCGCGCTGCTCACGCTTGCACACGAGGTGTACACCTTCGCAACAGATCCTTTCTCAATTAATGGAGACTCATCAGTGAGTAAGATCTCTGAGCCGGTGCCACAGAACGCGGAGTCTCACGAGGATGCAGAGACCGCCCCGGTAACTACAATTCCGACACCGGAGATTCGTGTTGATCCGGACGCGTATCCGTCGGTGGAAGCTGTCTACGAGCAGTTCCACGAGAAGATACGGCAAGCCAGCGGCGTGGTGTCTGAGAATGACAAAGCTCAAGACACAGAGACGCCTTCACTCCCAACGCCATTCTCGCCGATGGAAGTGGCGCGGATCGTGACGTTCTTCACGTCAACATTCTTCCGCCACTTACGCGCGTACCAGTATGTAAGCCGTGTCCAGCGATCGAGTATTGTACGTGAGTGTCCGCTGCCAATCGAGACTCCACTTCCTCCACCTTCTCTAGCCGACGCCACTCTGCAAAAAGAATGAGTGAATCCACCAACGATCAGCTCGCACGGGGCACAAATGGAGCTGATGAGGTAAAAAGCACGAAAAACGCAATGGCACGCGCTGGCCAGTCCATTCTTTTGCTTGCTTGACGTTGATGATTCACATGATCGGTTTAACATGATTTGAGGTTGCACGTAGCCATCCCATCGACGTAATGTACGTGGCAATACCAACATCCTCTTGAACTTGCATTGTATTGTTTGATATTGGTATCATTCGGGGCTGCCGTGGCTGCTCTACTTTCCCCATTGCCGTCATGTTATCTTTCGGCTCTACGCAATCCAATCGCCGCTTGCTTTCGCTGGTCTAGTTCGCCTGGCTGCGTCAAGTTGAACTGAGCTGTACACGCACGCACCTTCCCGACCGGAGCCTTGCCAAGTTGCAGTGGAGTAAAGTGCGCGCCCTCTTACCGTACGCGTCGCTACCTAATAGTCTCGCCTTGTCACATGTCGTCGTCGGACATTTAGCCCGACATGAAGCCCTTGATCGTGTTGAAGTCAATGTCCTTGAGAGAGTTGATGGTGCCGTTCAGGATAATGAACGAGCCCACGATCTGCGACGTACGCACCGTCAGGCCCTTAGGGAACAGCAACGCCAGCGCTGTGGCTGCCAAGTAACGCTGTCGGGGGGATACCGTGTTGGGCACACGCACTTCCGCGCGTCGAATGAAGTCGTCCATGTGCTCGCCGTAGCTCTTCTGCGGGTGCATGAGCTTCATCGTGGACAGGTTGTGCGGCACGTGCGACAGGTAACCGGACACGACACCGGCCGCCATACTTCCAATGGCATTGTTCAGCGCGGGGCTCGCAGTCACGGACAGACGCTCCTCGAAGTAGTCGGACAGCTGGTTCAGACCGACACCGAAAATCACCTCACGCAACATACGTGGAGCCGTACCGCGGATCCAGCGCGTGGCCAGCGACTCTGGGTTCATGTGGCCAGCGTTAAAGGCCTCCAGCATGCTGCTTACAGGCGTCATGATGACACCGGGCGACACAGCCTCCGTCAGGCGCACTAACAGCGGGTACTCGTACTGGTCGGCGTCCACGTTCTTCTCCAACAGGTGACGGATGCCCTTAAACCCGTTAATGTACACGACACGCGTGGGGATCTGCAGGTGCATCTCAGGGAAGAGTCTGGCCACGGGTTGACCCGTTAGGCGAGCGTTAAGCAGCGAGTTCATGCCACTACGGTAGAACGACTCGATGGAGGCAGCCACGGAAGTGGCGAAGTAGGGCGTGGGCTTGGCGTGCTGCTCGAACAGCGGCGTCTGCAGTAGCGAGGCCTGTCGCCGGATTTCTTTGCTCAGACTGTGCATAACCTCGCGCGAGGCGGTTCTGTCTTCGAGCACCTCGTCAAGTGCAGAGCTCTGCAGCGAGAAGCCCGACACGGGAGTGAGACAGCGTACCGTCACAGCCGCGGGGTCTTGTACGAGCGCATGGTTAGCGCTCACGGCGCCGCTGGTCATCACGTCGAGTGTGTGTTCTTGGCCCTCGATGATCTTGGTGGTTTCCACGCTACCTTCCTTGAGCAGCAGCATCTCGCTCTGCGTCTCACCCTGGCGGTATACGACGGCGTTCTTAGGGTACGTCACGGCTTTGGCGCGCGCACAGATCTGGCGAAGCGTCGGCTCCGAGCACAGTGCGAACATGCCAGAGTTGGCGGCGGCTTGCACGCAGTCGTCCATGATGAAGGTGGTGACGTGGAATACGGTGGGGGCGGAAAAGAGCGGGCGGCGACGGTCTGCTTCGTCAGGTCCGGAGCTAAAGCAGCAATGAAGCGACAGAAGGATGTGTGACGAAAATGTTTACAGAGATTTCAAACTCGATAACGGTTTAGACGGGTATACTCATAAAGTTAGCGTTGAAAGATACTCTGAGATAGAAAAGTTGTAGGGTGGATTTGCTCTCTAAGATTTGACCGCCGCTCAACAGGTTGATGATCCTGAGGGGCTGCATGGCTTTGCTCTGCGCTGCTCATGGCTCGCTCGACGAATGGCAATTTTCCATTATCCTACACGTAAGCCAGCAAGCGCAGTTTTTTTTTTTTTTACAGTTGTGCATCATTTCGAGTTCGATTGCTCAAACCAACTCAGACGGATGGACAAGAAGTGGCGCGTGGCGGCTAAAGTATCTTGCGTTTTGTATGCACACCAAGCAGAAAACGGAATAAGAGGATGAGCGGGGGACGACGTCATCAGCTGGGTGGCCGAGGTGAGGTCATCCGACTGTTATTGCTGCGGAGTCGAAGCTGTCGGGGACTTGCGGTCACGAACGCCGAGCGCCCAGCATTTGACACATTCACGGGTTTACGGCGCGGCGTCTTGCGCAGCGGCTGCAGTGCTACTACACCCGGTTCAGTGCCCAACGCTGAGAATACGCTGGAACCAGGTGCTGCCGCTGATGCCGCTTGACGAGGCAGCAATGGCGGTAGATATGTGTGTGAGATCTCTTCCAACACGCTGGCTTCGGCCGCGGCGGTCTGTGCGATGCGTTCTGTGCGGCGCCGCTCGGCCGTGAGATCTCGTCGCTCGTTCTGACGCAACATGGCGTGTACGTCTTCCACGACGGGTGCGGCCGCTGTCTCTTTCCGGCGCTCACGGGCGTCGTAGTCCACAGAGAAACGCCACGGACGATGGATGTTACCGTCGGAATGTCCGGCGTTAGAGTTCAAGTTGCTGCTTGAAGGATCCAGTCCGCCCTGCATGAGCACACCGAGACATTCACCACTCAGCGACCAGATCTTGACCCGGCGGTCAAAAGACGACGTCACGAGACTCTTGGGCTCTGCGATCATCTGCACCGAATACACCACGTCGCCGTGTGCCTTCCAGCGACGAACTAGCGACACTGGCGGCAATCTCCGCCTCTCTCCGTCTTCGCATCGAGACTCCTGGTCATCATCCACGTCGGCCGCTACGAGCGGCATACCCGACGAAAAGAAGAAAGACGAGAGCGGGTCACGATGCGCGTAGGCAGCATATTCCGGCGTGTTGCGTGACTTCCGCACCATACTGGCAGCATCTATCCGTAAATTCCGCTGCGCGTTGACACATTCGACCGTTTTCGCTAATGGTTTGAGATCGAAGCTGGTTGCAAGACGCAAAAGCAGCGGCAAAACGTTCCACACACTCAAGAATCCTTTGTCGTCTCCTGTGATGACTAAAAAGGACGTGAAATCCATCGGATCGCTCTCATTCTCGTCTTCGATATCGACAGGAGTGCGTGAACCTGACGAACTACGACGCGTGGAGTGCGTGGCGATGCAGTTTACGGCCGCAGTTCCCAGGTGATTGTGCTGATTGCGGAAGCGAAAGACGCATTTGCCCTTGTATCGAGCTGACGGACGCATCGCCCAGAAGCAGAGATTGCCCGTGCTGTCGCTGGAGAGGAGAAGAGGAAACGGATCGAGGAAATGCAGACACAGTAAGCCACTCACATGACCGATACAGGTGGTGTCGAGACGGCCGAACTCGTAGTCCCAGACTTGTAGCGAGCAGTCGGATGACCCTGAGGCTAAGAGGGACAAATGGTACGAGAAGCTGAGTGCTGTGATATCCGTAGAGTGTCCGCCGACAAGTCTCCGAAGCAGCACACCACGCTCCGAGTCGCGTTCATCGTGGATATTGATGGAGCAGTCCCACGACACACTGATGACGGCCATGTGCTCTGCGCAATAACACAGCTTAGTGACTTCAGCAGTGTGGGCTCGATTGCCAAAGTCTGGATATGCGAACGACTTCATGTGTGAACCATTCAGGTAGTCGAACACATGGATGTTGCCCTCTGCAGTTGAAGGCGATGCTATGAGAACAAACTATGATCCAGTCACAGCAATGATGCAACGTACCGTGGTCTCCGATGACGAATTTGCGCTCTCGAAAGTCCAAGCACAGCGTTGTCAGGTCCGACGAACTCAGATCTCTGCATTAAACAAGTGTTACTGAAGAAAACACTACAGCTCCCTCCCCTCAACGTATGAAACACTGCGCGTACCTGTACACTCGGATAAGCTTGCCAAGTCGTGCATCCCAGATTTTGACATCCCTTCCTGCCGCTGTGATAAACGAGAGAGATGTTGGATTGTACAGCGCACAGAATACGGGGTGATCGTCCGTCAGTTCGGGATTCTCCAGCTTCTCGTAGTCGAACTTGATCAGCTAAAGATGAGTATCATCATAACACAGGAACACGTTGGCTACTGCTGCAAGATCAAGTGTCGAGAACCAATAAATGGACGTGCCTTTTTGCCTGCTGCAACGATCCGCTTGGCTGAGGTGATCGATACGATGTTCTTGACGTCGCCCATATTCTCGGCTGTGAATGTCTGCATACAGGCAAAGTTACGGATATCCCAGACTTTGAAAACTCCATCTACGTCGGCAGTGATGATCTGTGGTGTATCGGAAATAATTTCTACTCCACACAGACTGTTGTTGTGACCATGCAACCGAAGAATTAGCTGGTCGACGTACGGATTCCACACCAGGGCGTCGAAATCAAACCCCGCAGACACGAGGAAGCGATACTCGGGCGAATAAGCAAGCGATCGCACACCCTTTGCGTGTCCATCAAGCTGCTGTTTGTGCTTCCCTGTATGTACATCCCACAATCGAATTGTTCGATCCATGCTGGCGGAGGCGAGAGACTCGAGGGTGGGCAACTTAACAGCATCGTCACATTTAGTAAACCCTCAAGACAGCACAAGCAAGTAATGAAATTACGAACCGTGAGCAGATCGAGCACAATATCATCGTGAGATCGAGATAATACTCGCCCATGCACCTCACCACTCATATGGTGTTTTTCTTCCATTCTCTCAGCGTCCCACGCGTAGACGATGCCGCTCACTCCGGCTGAAAAGAGCACAGAGGACTCCGGATACCATTTGAGGCAGTTCTGTGAGGTCGGAGTGTGGCAGCTTTTCATGAGCCGTAATGTGGTGTCGTCATAGAAACGGAATTGCAGGTCGGAAGACGCCACGATGTACTGATTGAGCTGTGGCAAATTTCAAGTTGTGTAAGCAGCTTGGAGATTATAATTCTAGGAAAACGACAAGAGCAATTCACCTTTGGTAAATGCTCGGCACACTGTACAAACCCTTCAGGTGACTTGATCGTACGCATGAGCTCGCAATTGACGTTGTAAATCTTGAGGTATGGACTGCAACTTTCGACGAGGGCTACAAGGTCGTTGGACGGGAAGTAATAAATGTGGTCAATGAATGTGCTGTGCTTGGAGGCGTCTTCCCACTGTACGTGGTGGTACTGCTGGATGGAGTTGGGCTGGTGGTTCTTGACTGTGAGTCCCGTGTCCACAATAAACGACGTGAACTCTTCCCACTCCATCGAGCCGTCGCCATTGATATCTATCTGCGCAAAGAGCTCGCAAAGATTGGCGACAAGCTGCGACTCGGATAAATCGTGGAGCCGCGAGTTCTCGTCCGTGTGGGCGCTGCTCTGCACGAAGCGCGTCATGACGTAGACGAACTCGGCGATTGACAAGCCCTTGTCCTTGCGCTCGAACTCGTTGCGCAGTGTACTCACCTGTTAAGCGCATTTGATTGTGCAATAAATACTCTATATTGTGAGCGAAAAATGGCTAGTTGGGAGCTCACTTTCTCCATGTCCATCATCATCATAATGTCCATGGTGAAGCCCTTCTCGGGGTCGTGTTCGTAGGGTCGACCATTGACCCTCTGCTTGGAGCTGCGTGCACAGTATCGTAGAGTTAGAGTTAGAATAGTGCAGCATTAAAAGACTGGAAATTGATGTATTTTCATACAATTGGTTGGCCACTTCGGTCAGGAAGGCGGGCGAGATCCGCTCGTCGCTATCGCAGGCTTCGTCATTGTCCATGTTGCGCTGGGACGCAAATGCTGGAAGCTTCAACTTTACATAAAATTATGTTATGTACGCAAAATGGTGAGATGTTCCTCTCGGTAGTGATACGCACAGATAATCCCCTCCATAGTAATAATTACCCTCTCACCAGCCGGGTGGACCATATAGAGTCTGCCAACGGCGAAAATTTATGCAGGAACGCAGATGGGCCAAGTGTACTGTTTTTTATTACTTTAATTCAGTAGAAATCGCAAATCCATCTTTCCGCTGTGACTCCAGCAGTTTCTAATTGTCTTAGTCGAAACACCAGACCAGCCTTCTGAGCATCACTTCATGGCTGTATAAATATCGACTGGTTTATAGTTTTCGCCCCGATAGAACATGTCCAGCTCCGCTTCTTGCTTTGTTGTCCGGTAATGATCCTTGAGGCTCTTGATGATCC